ATATTATTTATTTAATATTTATTTAATTTATTATTATTTAATATATTATTACATGTTTTTAAAAATTAAACCACCAAACGCAGTTTCAGTTTTTTTTAAAACTGAAATTAATCTCTAAATAAAACTATCAAACGCATTTTTAGAAATAATTCAAAAATGAAACTAAAAACGTTTTCATTTTCATTTTCGTACAGAAAATAAAAACGTTTTGAAATCAATTCCAAACGCACCCATAAGTTCCATAGGCTTTTTGAGAATTGAATTGACATGGTGAAATATTATGCTCTATTTTACCTCTGCTCGTGTGTAAATATAAAACTCTCCCACACAAAGCACTGGTGTCAGGTGTAGGATTAATTTTAAACTTTCAACGGCACGGGAATGATAGACTCCAGAGGGCCCCGCTCCTGCATAATTGATTTTTCAGTCTAATAGGTAAGATATATTTTCCACCTATTTAACTATTTTCCTTTGGGCTTATGGGGGTTGGAACCGGCTGTATCGAACAACTATTGATATGAGAATATATCCAACTGGAAGCCATGTATGATATAAGCCAACATTTTAGATGATTATTTGAAGCCAAAAATGCCTCTTTTAACACCATCTTATTCTTCCAATCCCAAACTATTAGTTGTCTGGTCGCCGAGATTCCCTCTCTCCTCTTGCTTGCATTTCTTTAGTGGCCAAGTTTTGACTAATTCCTCGTCGTTAGATACAAATGAGGAAGGGTGTTCACGGATCTGTGGATTAGGTGGTCAACCGCAATTCAATCTGTTATTGTGAATTGTAAAAATTTCAATCCGTTACTAATTCTTTAGACCCCTAATTCAATTTAATCCTTAACGAATTCAATAGATTGGATTATGCAGTTCGGGGATTAGCTTACGTTTTGGACATTGACTCTTGTAGTCAATCTCTTTTTTTTTTTTTTTTAATATTCTCATAAAATTAGTAACTAAACTAAACACAAACATAATATAACATAAAATTAAAATAGTTTTTAGATTTCATACATAATTACATATATACTTAAATTATATGTATTTATTATATAATTGAAAAAAACAACCAGTTACATGTTATTGAAACATGTATAAAAATATATATTATATATATAAATTAGATTGGTAGATTATGCGAATTGAGAAATGTTTAATTCACAATTCAATCCATTGTTGCGTTAGGAAAATTTCAATTTGTTATCAATCTTAAATTCTTTTAATCAATTTAATCCATAATAACAGATTGGATTATACGAATTGGTTGGATTAGTGGATTCGACGAATGCCCCTACAAAATGGCACAAAACAATCCCTTGCTTCTAGTTGTTGAGTGTTAACTGTGCAAGGGCTGTAAAACCCAAGCAGTTAAGTCCTGCTCAAATGGGCTGCGACTGTTAGACAAAACGTCATTTTGCTACGTAATTTACATGGATGACTTTTTTTTTTTTGGGTTTTTTCTTTTTTTTTGGGTAGCGGGGGAAGGACGTTGAGACAGTTGAGTGCTCACGTATGCTGTTGGTTTGCTGTGTTATTTTATTTGTGTACGGGGTTTGGTGTATGATGAGGGTGGTCCTACTTACATCTTTTTGCTTTTGTGGTTTGCAGTGTCAGCAAACATGAAGCAATGCTTTCATTAAAAAAGAAAAATTAAGTACTGCTACGTTATGACTTTCACATTATTAATACTATTAGGGAGTTTTCTGTAGGCTTCCTTATCTGGTAGACTTTAATTAATGATTATTTATTTTGATTAAAATCATATTAAATTAAAAAGATATTTAAATTAAATAATTTTAAATATAAATTTAATAATTAAAAAAAATTATTAGTAATTTATTTTTTTTAATCTTATTAAAAAAACTTCTATTTAATTACTATTATTATTATTATTATTTATTATCCTCACATGAGACATAAGGACGCCCGCTTCCCCACGTAATCTCGTGTGCATTGTCGACAGTAAATTCAATGGACACGTCCCATTCAGTGGACGCATCAATCTTTTTGGTTCAAGCATGATGCCCAGCCGAATGAGTATCATGCTCAATTTCAAATATAAACCAAGACAAGAAATCCTAGTAAAGTTCGTTTTCTCATACAAACCCACGGTACCCAACAAATCAAGATCATGATTCTCAATGATAGCTTCCTTCAATCTCAACGGTTAATTTAGGAAAAAAAAAAAATAATAATAATAATGGTATGTTTACTTACGCGTAATCGGAATGAGCATGAATCAGAGTGTACATGATTCGGAGTGAGTAGGATTTGGAGTGAGGAATCGGAGTCAGAATAAACTGTTTACTTAGTGATAGGATTCGGAATCAGAGTCATTCCAAATCTCATTCATACATTTACTTACACCCAAAATCAAAATGAAAAAGTGTAAAAGTACTAATATACCCTTTAATCAATTTGATATTTTCAATTTAAAAAATATATTGTGTACTTATTATATTAAAATTAATCATAATTAAAATATTTAGTGTAATAATTGGGTACTAAAGTAATAAATATAAATTTTACAACTATTTAAAATATAAAAATAAATTTAAATAAATTTAAATAAAATAAATAATAATAAAAAATAGTGTTAAAAAATAAAATATATTATTAATTTATTAAAAAATAAAGTACATATTTATTATATTAAAGTT